ATTTCACTATAAAACAAGACGTGACAATTTGCGGGGTGAGGGGATGCAAAGCCCCGCCCACTACACTATCTAAATCTACCGATAAATAGTACAACTACTCGAATCGTTCCATATCGATGTTGCAATGTAGTTTAGCTTCCTTGACGGTAGATGGCGGCCTGTTCACAAAATGTTTTAAACTATAAAATTAATATTTTGGTGCAAAGAGATTTTTCTAGATTTTTTTTAATAAATTAGGTGTAAAATTACTTACAAATGAAATGTGATGCCATCCATAGCATCGGAGCGTCTATCTCATGAAGCAAATACATTTAGACAAAGAAATTTTAATCGCCAAAATATTATTTTTATAGTTTTCATAATAATTTTGTGAACAGGCCGCCATCTATCGTCAATTAAACCTCATAAAAAAATAATTCATTTAATATAGTATACCCAGTAACGCAACATTCAATATTAAAATGAAGGAAATTGTACTTGGCTGATTTTTACGAAATGTTTAAGTTATATTCTATATGCAAAGAATCACTTAAATACAATTTAAATATGTTTATCATTTCGTGAAAGTCAACCTTAAAGAAATAAAAGTCTCTTTGAAACTAAATATTCTATGTTCATTATTAAGTAGGATATTTAATTTGGAACAAATTTCCTACTTATGTCACTAATATTATAAAAGCGAAAGTTTGTGTGTTCATTCTGTCTCCTTGAGCTTATTCCACACTAAGTATGTACTGTGTATGTGTAATTTTTTCACGCAGAAACGGTTGGACCGTTTTTTATGTGTGGGTTATACTACTTAATATCTTTGAAGGAGCACAAATAATAGACAAATTATTATAATTAATATAATTTTGCCGTGTAGTGGCGGTTAAGAATATCCACTACCCCATATCTTCCCGTGGGTGTCGTAAAAGGCGACAAAGGGAAACAGGCAGGAGATGGGTAGCAGTATCTTCCTGGTAACGGCAAAAATACAATAAATAAACTGCGGTTGCCAACCCGCTCGCCAAGCGTGGCAACTATGGCAATATACCCCCCATGATGAAAGTTACGAAGAGACGGCCCCCAGTCCCCGGCGGCCCCGCTATTCTTGGCTACGGTGGCGACCATGGTAACGGCGGGGCAGGGGGTGCTAAGAATCTCCGGTGGAGGTTCGGTTGCCACCTACAACGACTCTACCTGGCAACATACAACGCACGCACCCTGAGGACTGACGAGAAGATTGTGGAGCTGGAAGAAGAGATAGACAAGTTACGCTGGCATATTATAGGATTATCCGAAGTCCGAAGAGAGGGGGAGGACACGGTAATCCTCGAATCCGGCAACTTGCTCTATTACCGGGAGGGCGACCATCTGTCCCAAGGAGGTGTCGGATTTATCGTCCACAAGTCTCTCGTTAACAACGTTGTAAAGATTGAGAGTGTGTCGACGAGGGTTGCGTACCTTATACTCAGAATCACCAAACGGTATTCGCTGAAGGTCATACAGGTTTACGCACCAACCTCGGCACACCCCGATCAGGAGGTGGAGGAAATGTATGAGGATATCTCTAGAGCTATGCATTCCTCCAAAACCCAATATACGGTGTTAATGGGAGACTTCAATGCAAAACTAGGCACAAGAGAGAACGGTGAGCTGAAAGTGGGGCAATTTGGAATTGGGCAACGGAACCCAAGGGGCCAGCAGCTGGCCGACTTCATGGAGAAAGAGGGACTCTTTATGATGAACTCTTTCTTCCAGAAGCGGCCCCACAGGAAGCGGACCTGGTCGAGCCCCGACGGTTCAACAAAATATGAGATTGACTTCATTATGACTACCAGACGACAACTGTTTAGTGATGTCTCAGTGATCGCGAAGGTGAAAACCGGCAGCGATCACCGAATGGTTAGAGGCACACTGAACCTAAACGTTAAGTTGGAGAGGTCTCGTCTAATGAAGTCAACGCTCCGTCCCCCTCGTGCTCTAATCCATAGTCCCGAAACCTTTCAGCTCGAGTTACAAAACCGTTTTCAGTGCCTAGAAGACTGCAATGTAGTGGACGATTTGAATGACAAGCTCGTGGAAACTGTCCATGCGGTCGGAGCTAAGTTCTGCAAGACCCGCCGCAGAAGAACACAAAAACTCTCCGATCACACTCTTAATCTCATGGCTGTTAGACGGGAGATGAAGCTACATTCTTCAACAGATTTGACAGCATACAGGCAACTGAACAGACAGATCTCCAAATGCATGCGGCGGGACTTACGCAACTTCAATACAGCTCGTATTGAAGAAGCGATCGAGCGGAACCAAGGCTCCAAAGTCTTTGCCAGAGATCTGTCTGCCAGAAAGAGCCAACTGTCAAAGCTGAAGACCGAATGTGGCAGCATCGTTTCCGGGGCACCTGAGATTTTGAGTGAGATTGAGAGGTTCCATGGGCAGCTGTACACGTCATCGTTGGAGCCGCACGCAAGTGTGAGTAACGATCCAAGAGCGAGTCTTATCCGACATTATTCCGATGATATCCCGGACGTCAGTCTGAGAGAGATTAGAATGGCTCTCCAGCACCTTAAAAACGGCAAGGCCCTAGGCGAGGATGGAATTACAGCGGAGCTTCTGAAAGCGCGTGGAAAACCGGTACTTGAAGTCCTTCAGAAGCTCTTTAATTCCGTCCTCCATGGTGGCATTACACCGGAGGCGTGGAGCAGAAGTGCGGTGGTCTTGTTCTTCAAGAAAGGCGACAACGCTCTCTTGAAGAACTACACACCGATTTCCCTTCTGAGCCGCGTCTACGTGCTGTTTTCGAGAGTCATTACGAATCGTCTCGCGCGCAGACTTGACGACTTCCAGCCTCCCGAACAAGCCGGTTTCCGAAAAGGCTTTAGCACCATAGAGCACATACATACCCTTCGGCAAATTGTACAGAAGTCCGAGGAGTACAATTTGCCACTATGTCTGGCGTATGTGGACTATGAGAAAGCCTTTGATTCCGTCGAAATTTGGGCGGTGCTGCAGTCCCTTCAGCGATGCCAAATTGACTGTCGGTATATCGAAGTGTTGAAGTGCTTGTACAGTAGGGCTACGATGGCTATCCGAGTACAGAACCAGAGTACGAAACCTATCCAATTGCAGAAAGGTGTAAGACAGGGTGACGTCATATCCCCGAAACTCTTTACCGTTGCAATGGAAGATGTTTTCAAGCTTCTGGACTGGTAAGGATACGGTATCCTTATCAATGGCGAGTATATCACTCACCTTAGATCTGCCGACGATATAGTCCTTATGGCAGAATCGCTTGAGGACCTAAGCACTATGCTCAATGACCTCAATAGTGTTTCCCAACGGATAGGTCTTAAGATGAACATGGACAAAACAAAGATCATGTTTAATGTCCATGTCACACCTATGCCGGTAGTTGTTGGGAACACTAAGCTCGAAGTTGTTGACGAGTATGTTTACCTAGGACAAATAGTCCGACTAGGTAAGTCCAACTTCGACCGAGAGGCCAATCGACGGATTCAACTCGGTTGGGCAGCGTTCGGGAAATTACGGCACATCTTCTCGTCAGGTATACCTCAAAACTTGAAAACGAGACTGTACACCCAGTGCGTGTTGCCAGTGATGACATACGGAACTGAGACGTGGTCCTTCACTGCTGGCCGGATGGGGAAGCTCAAGGTCGCTCAGCGAGCTATGGAGAGGGCTATGCTCGGAGTTTCTCTGCGTGATAAACTCAGAAATGAGGATATCCGCAGTAGAACCAGAGTGACCGACATAGCCCAACGGATTAGTAAGCTGAAGTGGCAATGGGCCGGCCATATAGCTCGAAGAACCGACAACCGATGGGGAAGAAAGGTTCTCGAGTGGCAGCCTCGTACCGGCAGGCGAAGTGTAGGGCGTCCCCCCACTAGATGGAGTGACGAGCTGGTAAGATATGCAGGAAGTCGATGGATGCAGGTGGCTCAGGACCGTGCTTTGTGGCATTCTTTGGGGGAGGCCTATGTTCAGCAGTGGACTTGTGAAGGACTGTAATGATGATGATGATGATGATGAATATCATTTTATTTACAAATCAATTAAAATATAAATATATTATTCCAAATTAGGCATCCGAATGCACTTTTTGAATGCCAATCTAAGAACATTAAATTGTATTTAAATGATTCTTTGCATGTAGAATGTCACTTAAATATAACTTAAACATTTCGTAAAAATCAGTCTAAGCACAATTTCCTTCATTTTAATATTGAAAGTTGGATTACTGGGTAAAATAATTGAATTCTAATTACGGCCCTGTCTTTTTGTTATTTTTATGAGGTTTACTTGACGATAGAATACGGCCTGTACACAAAATGATTAAAAAGTATAAAAATAATATTTTACGATTAAAATTTCTTTATGTCTGAATGCAAAAAAAATTTCAGCACCTTCGTATGATTATTTTACCAATACTGAGCTCTTCGGATCTTTATATTTTTAGTTCACATGTCACAAATTGTCGCCATGTAGTGTCGAATATATTTAATTTTATTTGAAAGCAGACGCAGAGATTTTTCTAGAACTATTTTAATAAATTAGGTGTAAAATTATTTAAAAATTTACAAATGAAATGTGATGCCATCCATAACATCAGAGCGTCTATCTGAGTAGTTTTTACACGGTAAAACACAACACTTCATCCTTTTCTTCTTAAGGCTACGAAAATACTCTGATTTGCGATTCTCAACACATAAGCGCACAGGACGAATGCTGACAGTATACTAACTAAAGCCACGCCCACTATGGTGACGTCAGGACCTACTTAGAATCACAGTGCACAGTTGCTTATGCCGTCTCCTCTTTGTATTTGCGTCATGGGCCAGCCCATTGCCACTTTATTAAATCAATCTATCAAGCAAGCATTATTTATTTGTCTAAATAAGGACTTACAATATATCAGTTTTTAATACTATTATTAGGTAAAAGTACTTATAAAGTTAGTCCCTATTTACGTTCAACTAAAATTCTAATCTCCACAGAACAACCCGAACCAGACGTGTCTCCCTTGGAGGAAGGAGAAAAGATGCTCCCGTTGGAAAATAAACGCAACAACTCTATATACCAGGAGACTGTCGTACCACTGAACAGTGAAGTCAAGGAGGCAGGTGACAGATAACGAGGCGTTACAGGGTTGTCCATTTTTATCCCGAACTAAATATTTTTTGTATTCAATTTAATAAATAAGTACACTACTCCAATGAATGTGAAATTTAATAAAAATAAAAGAGTAATAATTGTTATATATATATCAATTACTGTAAAATCAACCTTAGGTTATTCGAACATACAGTTTAAATTACTGTTAAAATTGATGTGAGTTACGTTTTTTATTTCATAAGATTAGGTTTATTAAATGTTTAAGGTCTATTTGGCGGTATCCAAACTTGAGCTTAGCCTATTTCGGCGGCTTACATATTAAAAAAAAATCTCTCGTTGGTTATGACATCACAACAGCGTCATAGAGTTATTTTGATATATTTTTATAAAATTAGATATTCATATCTAATTTACAACGTTTATGTTCCAATATCTTAGCTTAAGGGAGACTCGTTTCTGTGGTTGGTAATTCCAAAACAAAGTGTCATGATAACGTCACAATGGTGACTGATTTAAAAGTTTTAATGATTACTCCATTTATATTTTTATACTCCATTTTAAGTCGCAATACAAATCACAATTAAATTATTAATGACAATACTCGAAAATACTTACGTATAAGATACGTGATATTTCGAATGAAGTTTTTGTGATTTCATATTTTATTTACTTTTATGTAGTATTTTGGACATATTTATAATGTTTTGAGGTGCCAATGTAAGACGAAGAATATGTGGATATATTTTATAGTGTTTTTTTCTAATAGCAAGTTTTACTGATTATACGAATTATTATGTTTTTATTGTATGAAAAAAGATTCATGTGTAAAAAAATAAGTTTATTCAGTAAATGATCTTGAATGGTAATGGGTTCTCCTTCGGAGAATGATAACTTGTGTACGGAGATCCATGGCACTTACATTATTATTATTTGCATGACCTTTAAACAATAACTAACTATAAAAAATGAAATAATAAATAAAATAAAGACATAATGTACAATAATTTCAGATGGCATTAGAAATTTGGAGGTTTAATTGTTATAAAAGTTTTTAATGTTGTTTAAAAATTGTTGTATTGTTTCCGATTTATTAATTTTACATACGAATATGAGATTATCATAATTTTATCGGTGTTCATTTTTTGTTACATTTAGAGGCTCGATCGATTGTATGTACAAAATATTAATTTATTTAAAAACAAGATTAAGTGGTTTAAACTAGTCCAAACGGAACAAATTCTGCTGGTGCGATTATTTTGTAATGAACATTTAATTGCTTGATTTAGAGCGACATGAAATCACAAAGATACAATAAATTCCTAGAAATAATTAATAGTAGATATAGATAGGGTTACGAAGTTTTTTATTTCAAATATAATATTTTCGAGACTAACAAAGAACATATTTACATTCCAAGTTTCGTCGAAACCATGTTCAACTTATTGGAAGGATTCGCACTAACATACACGTACGCCTTTAAAATCATTTTCAATCAACAACATGTTTTTTAGATACCGATATATCGGCGATACTTTGGACTTGCTATATATCAGAATTATCGGATATCTGATATTTTTATTACAGATACAATGATACCTTTCAAATTCTAGGTCTTCTAATATATTGAGCGTCGTCGATCTGCTTGTTTTCTGGCGCAATGTCGTCTTATACCAAAAATATGAAAAAAATACATTGCGCAGAAGTACTCTTAGTATCGCATCTGAGAGACTATTTCGCACTACAGGTCTCATTTCAACCGACTTACGAAATCGCCTTTTTCCGCAAAAGTTAAGAATACTTTGTTTATAAAACAAAAAATTTATTATTGTTAATTTTAATTACTAACACTTTTAACCATATTAATTTTAATATCAAATAATCTTATACTATAATACGATGAATCTGAATGACAGAGTGAGAAATTGTTTGATAAGAGAAGAGTGTGGTTTGCAACATGATGTTGTGACCAGGATTAAGAAAGGAATGCTACAGTGGTTTGGTCATGTAGAAAGAATGAACGACGAAAGAGTGACAAAGCAAATTTATGTTGCAGAGGTGAAGGGCAGGGTCGGCAAGCGACGCCCTAGATGATAGTTTATCGATCAATTTGGCGATATATTGAGAATGGGCCAAATTAAGAATACCTTTACCCGACGAGCGTGTATGCGTAGGTATATGGATGTGGAGGAAGCGAGTGAGGTGTGTCAGGATCGTGCCAAATGGAAATCCATAGTCTCTGACTACCCCTCTGGGTGACAGGTGTGAGTGTTTATGTTGTGTAATCTTACACTATGTGTGTTATTTGTTTTATTAATTAAAAATAAATATTTAATGCTTTAATATATGTTCATTTAAATTCACTAAGCATATCGATATCGGTATCGTATCTAATTCTAGGTGCGTGTACAATGAGTTGAGCATAGTTTAGGTGGGTTTCACAGTCATTCGAAAGTTCTGCCTATCTTTTTTCTTGGTCTGAGTTCATTGATTATATTATTGTCACTAATTTATGCAATGAATAATATTGAGTGCCATTTTAAGCTGCTAGCTTTATATTGCAGACTGATTGTTGTATTATATAATTGTTTTATTTACCTATACGGATTATTTGTGTAATATTTTACATAATAAATTGTTATAACTTGTATGTTTTTTTTTTTAATTTATTTTTATACTCTTTTATTCACGCCGTGTAATGCCAGCCTTAAAGAATCAAATTTAAATTTAAATTAGATTCTCTAAGGAAATTGAAACAGGTGATGTGAACATGATGTGTTCAGGAGATAACTCAAAATACTTCCTGCCTGCCTGTAGTTATGGTTGTAGCACAAATGGGTCGGCTCTACCAGGGAAGGGCCATGCTCTTACAGAATACCAGCGTAAAATAGCAGCTTAATGCTACTGTTTTTTTATATGGTGAGTGTAGAGAAGACCCTTTTTACTGGAAACAAGGCATTCCATCTTAGTCCTCACGGGTGACGACGCATCTGCATTTTGATTCTTATTCGAGAATAGTTGTAGATGTATATATTCAATAAGTAATAAATAAAGTAATACGAAAGTAATTTATGCCATCCCCACTAGTTCGGAGAAATCTATGAACTAGCAAGAAAGCCACCGGGACAATTTTTCTTGATAAAAAAAACCATTATTTTACAATATAATATGTTGTTTTATTAAATATGAAAAAGAATGAAAGTTATCATTTCATCCCCATGGGTTATTATCAACCACGTACTTTTAGTGGTATAATAAACCTTTTTAAATATAAATGAATATGAGCCAGCTCCTAAAATCTACTTTTGGACATGGGACTGTCACGTTGTATTTAATCATCACGCTCGGCGGATTGACGATCGTAGCACCAGACGTGAGCACTTTAGACGCTGCTGCCCGTCGCCGGGTTGGCTAAAACCTAGAGATTATATACTCTTTGGTTTGGCTATTTTACGTCTGATGTTACCGCCATCTATTGAAAGCTAAAGAAAAGAAAATTTTTCCATAGTCGTCTCCAAAGAGTAACTGTCCTATGCTACAGCACGCTTAAGTTAACTTTACAATGAACACAAAAGATTATTATGCTCTACAAGAGCGAGGAGACGGTCCTGAGGGGACCGAGCAGCGCGCAAATAGCGCGCTAATACCGTGATTTCATTGATGTCGATGTTCCTTATCGCGGCGTAAACCGTGTTAAGGTCATCGACCATTGAGGGCTGTTTTTGTTGAGGAGCGGAGGTTGCCCGCGGTGGGTCGGCCTTTTGGGGGCCCCAGGGAAATACTGGAGCCTGCGAAGGCTGTGAGAAGCTCGGAGAGGGCCTAAGAGGGGCCTAGGGGGACCCTGAGGGGGTCGTGAGAAGCCCTGGAGTGGCTGAGATAAGCCCTGACGGGGCTTCCTTGAGTATAGAGCCGGGAATGATCGGTCATTGACCGGCGGTGGGACTTGTCTAGTAGGACGAGGACGAGGAGCGCACGGGCAGCCTCTGTAGCTTGCCGGGTGGCCTGTTTGCTGGCACAGGACGCACGCGGGTGGGGATTCGGCATATTTGGGCCGGGGACACTTTTTCGTGTTGTGGGGGTCGAGGCACTTAACGCACCTGGGTGGGGCGGAACAATTGGCCGCCGCATGACCATACAACTGGCAGCGGTGGCACTGCGCCGGGAAGCCTCGCCTATGCGGTGGCTCAACATGCACTCCCGATAAGCCACACACAGTGCGTACTTGCCGGAAGATTGTTTTCGCCTCCGGAACGTTAGTAAGAATGACCAAAGCTAACGGGTATCTCAACTCGGTTCTGCTGTGCATTTTATGCACAGCCTCAAAGAGGAATCCTTGTGACTTAAGGTCCTCAAGGATCTCCTCGTTGGAGAGTTCGAACGGGACGCCTCGGATGACGGCCCTGACTTTACGCTCTTCCTGAAGAGCGTAAGTGTGGTAGGACACACGTTCATTTGTAAAAAAGCCTTGTAAGGCGGCGAAAGTCGTCTATGATTGCGTGACTATTTTAATAGCTACACCTATGTTGGTAGCTTGGTCATATTTGATGCCTGCATCATAGCAGATCTTACTGAGGCGAGTAAATTCGGACTTCTCTTAGACAGGGGGCGGGACTTGCTTCTTAGCAAGTACGGGAGCGTAACGAGAGGCCGGCTTTGACGGCGCTGGGATGTCTAGCGACATAAGGGGGGTCGGGGCAGCGGCTGGGGCTGCGGGGGAAGAGGCGGCAGCTAGAGCTGCGGGGGGTGCGGCAGCGACGGGGGCTGCGGGGGTGGAGGGAGCGGCAAGGGCCGCTGAGGCGGGGGGGGGGGGCGGTTTCGCGGCGCGTTTTTCGCGGAGTAACCGGAGTCGGAGTACGAGCACTCCATATCTAGTTCGAGAGGGGCGAATGAGTTTCGGGACTCAATGTGGGCCACTATAACGGGCGGCGGTTGACTTGCCTGAAGGGCGGGATTAGCCAAAATGGCCAGGGCTGCGGCAAGAGCCTGCGGGTCATCCATCCTAGTGATGGCGGCGAATAGGGA